TGCTATTGTATATCAGGTATTAATATTCAAAATTTGATCAGAAAATACTTTGATATAATTCTGAAAGTTCCTCCTGAGTAAATATTGCAAATCAGGAGGCAAAATAATCTCCAACGTTTCCTGAAGGCTTTGAGAATATTTTCTGATCGCATTTTTTTTATAATAACACCTGATGCACTACACTTACATGTAACTTCATGACATTTTTCAGATAATGTTCTAGAACCAACAATCTTCAAATGATTAATCGACTATTGAATTGTTCCTGTAAATACTAAAGATTAAAGATCCACCTTTGAACAAAACATGTTTAGAAAATCTTGTCATTTTCTGTAATCGTTTTAATCTAGTTGATTCTCTTTTCGATGTCAAAAACGATTTTTTTTTTTTCATTTTAAAAAAAATTGCATTCTTTTTTTAATCAATTGTTTCTGGTTATGAATTTAAAAAGTTTTTAATTAAATTTTAATGGAAAGAATGGCTGTCCAAGCAAAAGTGGTGAAGGAGAGCTATTCCGCAGTTTTAAAATTGCTTTTATTTTTTTCTCTTAATTTGACTAATTTTATCTTATTATTGATAGGAAATCTGGATAGATTTGATTTTTTTAATGCTGTGATATATTGCAACTGTCTTTTTAGTTACTCTAATGGTCATTTTCCTCATTATTACTTCTGTAAGATTTACCAAAGGAGTTTTTTTTTTTTTTTTTTTTTTTTTTTTTTTTTTTTTTTTGTGCAGCGGTCAGTTGGGTTTTTGTTGCACGATCAAATTTTGGACCAAAATCAGAGTCCCCTTTCAGTGAGATCAATGATTATAGCCAGAAATGGAAGGAATATTCTGACAGAGTCGAGCAAAACGCGCATCTACATCCTGGCGTTTCCAAATTACATATCCTGTTTTATTTCTTGGAAGGAAACCAATGAACATTTTCCCTTAAAATTTTGTGGAGATAACCTTCTTATTGCCATAAAAAATTGTTTTACTTAACATTTTCCATTTATGAGTGTTGATTTTTTCAATTCGATTTGAACAGATCCACCTCTTTTTTTTAAAATTGTTAATGTACTTATAAATTAATTGAATCATTCATCTCAGAACAATTTCTTCACAAAACAATGTCAATTTGGTCGATTTTTTTACTCAAAATCTGGTGTAAAGACAAAAAGAATGTACAAGATTTTGATCTTGCAACTAAACTCTTATGATGAAAAATTAAATTAGCAAGGAACCATCAGTATGCACCATTCTCAAAAAAATAAATTAATTGATCTAAAAGGCACTCCGAAGTAAAGCTTTATTTTATTCATCGGCAGCTATTTATTGGAGAAGTGTAATTAACTGCCTACAGCGTTGTAGATTTGCTAAAATCAATTTCATTCTCCGAAAAAATCCAAATTCTGATAGGTGTTTGACATTTTACTTGTTACAAAATCCCTAATGCAATCCGAGACTAGTTGAATAGCTACGTCAAGATGGGAAGACTATTTCTGTGTATTTCATCAGTACCTACAAGTATCATTTCCCCTAGTGACAAAATTTATGAGAGTGCACAATATACTCTCATATCAAATTTATGGGAGGAATAAATGTAAGGATCTTTAGTTTTGTTTTTCTAGTTATTTTTTTTTATTTCTGTCCTTTCATTGAACCTTTTTTGTTCCCATCTTTGTGAAATACAGTTTGCAGGTAACCAGGTAACCTAAGTTCCGAGCTGTGGTTTAAAAGCCAAGTAACAGCATCCATTCATTTACTGCACTGATGTATATTTGACTCATGTAGATATTAGTAGTATAGAAAAATACCTGGGACATTCATTCCAGTTTTCTAATTTTCCCCATGAATCAATATCAATTTCAGAAAATATCAATCAAGAAATTATCAATCTCTCTTTATATTTAGAAATCAACAACAAAATCAAGAAATATATTTCTTTCATAAAGTTCCTAGTAGAAATACATATGTAGTTCATTAAAAAAAATGACACTGGTATGAGTTATATTCATTAAAAGTTATGGGAATAAACTGCGTCCAGGACATTCATTTTAATAGTCCATTTTCTCCAGTAATCAAAAGTTTTTCAGCAGAGGAGATTCCTGTAAACTCTTAGAGTTAAGTCCCCAATTATTTTATTCAAATTTGAACTTTTCGTTCTCTAATGCATTTACTATATTTTTCCTTTTAAGTGGTATCTTTGGCTGTTTTATTAGAAGACAAATCCACAGTAGACTGTTTAAGTTCTCATTCATTTTCCTCTTTTAATTTCAAAATTCAGTCTCCATTCAATGTCTCCAAATTTTGATAATCCAGTGCAAACCCTTTAATTTAGTTTTACTCATACCTAAATTATCTTTAAAGTGGTAACTCTTAGGACCAGTCGATACCCATAGCTTTACATTCTCATCTTTTTGGATTTCATGAGTTTACCCTACCAGCATATCACCCATTTTAAGTATAATGTATTGTCGCAAACTATTGACAATGAGTCAGTACTACAATCCCATGCAGCCTCGCCTAACGAATCCAATTTTTCATACAATCTTAGTCTAGCATTTGCTGTTGTAAATAAAGCTATATACATAAATATTAGTACTAGCACTATTCTCAACGTAATAATCCTTAAATTTATTACCATCTGTACCATCTCTTTTGTCAGATAATTTAAATTTATATCTGTCAATCAAACATCAAGTTGGTAGTATCTCATAAAATCTTCTTACGTCAGTTGCATACTGTTTGACTCATATGTTGCCTCTGTTCAAATTCCCCCTAAACTATTCCAACATATTTTCGCTACTACTCTTCTCCCAGGGTTTACTCCAGTTTTATTAAGATCTAAGTAAGTCAATGTCTAATCTCTGTTTTATATCCTGTAAATATTCTTCTTTTGAATTACAATTATGACGACTGGATTTTTATTTTTTTCTGTTAAATTTTTCACATACCCTTTAAATAATTTATCATTCTCTGTTTTTCCATTCTCTAACATGACTTTTATGAAATCCTATAATCATTTTCAATTGCAATCATTCTTCGGTCAACCTTATTGGAGGCATTTGAATTTTCACTATTCTTCTTATTTCAAACAATACTGACATAATAATTTTTGAACATCGACTGATACCTACTAAAAAACGATTTAAGTTTTGAGGAGATGAATTGCCACATTTCTAATTCCGAACCACTTTCATAATGATTTTTTAGTTTGGAAATCTTTCAGGATGTCCCGCAGGATAGTAATCCTGTATAGAACTTTCTGGTATAAACCACCAATATCTACAAATCCAATTTTCTTTTTCTCTGAAAAATATCAAATTTCTTTCTTCTTTAAATCGCTTTAAAAATGACGATTTTAAAAGGTCTGAACTTGGGAAAATCTCCATGACCTCTCGGAAACGTTCTTCAGCTTTAGGTATCCTTGGAATGTAATCAATCCAGAGAAAATTGATACAAGAGTCGAATTAATAACTGAGTGGAAGTCTAAAAATATCTTGAACAAAGTGGTGAATAGTAGAAGGCTGTTATTGAAACAGGTTCACCATGAGCAGATTTTAAATCGGCCCGATTAGGGTTTCTGGTTGGTCTAACTGGAATATTTAGTCGAAATATCTGTTCCAGTCATGACTATAACTCTTGTTTTTAGTTGCTGCATCTGGAAACATTTTCTCATTATATTTTTCCATCGATGAATGTAAGTCTAATCTTTTTGTTAGCAGCCATAAATTTTGTCCTATGAGTGAAAATTATCCATAATTTTACAAGCTTAAAACTGACTTCATAAATTACACGAAAAATCCGAAATTATCTTGCTGCTCTTTTCATTCTCAGTCTCCACAAGTAATGCTAGCCAGAATTATTTCATAATTTCATCACTCAGGAAATTTTAAAAATTGGAAATTCATTTCTCCCAGTTAATCCCCCCTCACCATCCACACAAAAAAATGTGAACTTGGTAATTTTATATTTTTCATAAATCTTTGGACAATGTCATAGTTTTGCTGACATCTGGGTGAAGTGTTCTAGGTACTATAACTCATCTATTTACCTAATTCACCTTTGTCGTTCGTGGTTGCACTCTCGCTAATAACAGAATGTGACTACAAATTCAAACAGACTGCAGCAGCTAATTATTTAAGTCTTAGCATCTTGACTGAAAAACTTGATCATTCTGACCAAGGCAACTAAGAAAATTGTTTATATTAAACAAGATAACGAAAGATTTTAATCGTTCTGATTGAGGGGGTTTTAGGAATTTTAGTCATTGCAATTAAGGCCACCAACATATTAAAAGAAAAAAAAAAGACGCAAAATATCATACTATGATAGATGCACTAAAATATATCACCCAATATAATTATCCTGCCCCTTTAGTCAACCATTGCAATTTGCTTAACCAAGTCCCTGAGATAAAATAGTACCGGCGAAAATTTCTTTAATTTTCAATTTGCCTTCAATACGGTGTGCAGCAAATGCTGTCGCAGGGGTGTTGAGCGCTCAAACCATGGCGCCAGCGGCCAGCCGAAGCTGACAATGAAACGCGATTGCCATGGCCCTCTCACCCACCAATAAAAATCATAAATAAAACGTCTTGCAATCTGATTTCTCTCGGGTTTTAAAAACATGGTACTGTTCTTCAGAATTGTTTCTCTTTCCCCTAAATACGCGTAAGCAGCGACCTGCAACATCATTTGAAAAACCCGCGCTTTTGTCACGTCACCCCCTCCTCTTTTTTTAAAGTTTCCTACATCTACAGGATTGCCAGTTCGTCAGCGATATTAGTAAATTTTATAAAAATAATTTCCACGACTTCTCTCCTAAAGAAAACTCGCTAATCTTGAACAAAGTAACGTTCACAGAATTTCAAATCACACGAAGACTTTTCATTCAGTTCTCTAAAGCCGGAGACTTTATTTTTACACGTTCATAGTAAATCTGCCGGCACTTTCTTTCCGGAAATCCTGGCATTTTCGGTACCATCTCAGGCCTCGCCTCGCTATCTCTTTTCCTGCGAACCTTTCAATATCTCATTTGACTTTCATCTACTTCACGTTATTTGCAAGCTTTTCCCCCTGCATTTGTCATTAAAATTGTGTTTCTACCCTCAGAAATTATTAGCTTATCGATCCGGTGTGATATCCCGTGATTGGTGTTATGTTACCAAGTTTATTTATAGACTAATTTTGTGGATTAGTGAACTGTTTTTTGTGATATCGTCTCGTCTACCACTCCGCACATATGTATTACTTTGTGGCAAAAATTGATCCTTCTTCGCTTCTTTTTCGCTCTATTTTCAAGCTTCCAGCGTTTTCTTTGTATGCGTCCTTTCGGCGAGACTTTTAGAGCGATGAACTTGGAATGGTTGCCGTCTTTTGAAAGGTGAGGCCATTTGACTCAGCATCATTGGTGCTTTAACCTAGAAACCTGTCTCCAAGTGTTTCAATCAGAATCTAGCATAAATTCAACGAGCTCTTCCAGGTTTCACTATCTGAACTTGTTCCGCACCCATTCTAGTATGGTACTCATCAAATTTCTCGATATAGAACTCATTGAATTGTGCAGACCATGATGTGTCTGTTACGTCGTTACTGATCAATGTTAACCTCCGAGTTTTATTACATTCCTCAGCCTTCTTTCTATCCCCCAGACTATAATAAAGGCTGCTTTTGAAATGCTATGATTCCTACACCGAAATATCCAATTCTGAGGATGCTTTCCTAGCCTTGCTATTAAAGTCATTATTCTCCCACCCCATCCTACTTACTATGACAACGAGGTGCTTAAAGAATGTCTTGGTGATCTGCAATTTTGCTGAAGTTGATGCTAAATTTGCAAGTTCTATTGCCATTTGTAACATCTTTCCAATATCATTAGTCTTCCCTCCATGGCCAATCCTGTAGGTTTTGAAATGATAATTTTATGGGTATTATTATCATCATCATACTCCATCATAAGTTTTTTGATGCTATCGTTAAATTTCTGTCTAAGCCTCGTATCAACTGTTGCTCTCCATATCATCTGACTTTTGTTTCTCACATTTAACTACTTTTATAAAAGTATGCATACCTTCTATCAGACTGTCAACTAGCTCAACAGAATTACCGAACTCTGATGACCCAATTGAACTGGTTTACTGGAAAATGAATTTCTACGCTGCTTTTCTTCGATTTTGAGTACTGATCCAGCTCTCAGTTACCATTGAATTCCACTAAACTAATGAACTTGAGCTATTGAATGCCGTTGTCAGATGCAGGCAATTTATTTATGTGATTTTGTACTTGACTGAATCCTTCGCTGCGCAAGCTTTTGGTTTACAGATCATGAACGCTGGTTATGAATTTCTTTTTTCAGTTGAAGAATTCTTAGAGCTTGGCATAGAAGCAAGATGTCAAGGAGAAGGTGAGACGAAAGGAGGTGGCAACTCTGGCATTTTCTTCAACATGGATTCCTCAATATATTTCCATGTTTTCATATTTTTGCCAGATAATTTGCTCCAATTAATCTGGGTTTTTTTTCTGTTCTTTCAGAAATTTGCATTGAAGAGTGATTTATTCATGGATTGCAATATCTCTCCGATAGCTTTGGAAATCGATCCCTCCTCGGTTTTGGCCGTTGAATTCAATAATCAAGCATCAATTAATACTGATAGTCAGTGCGACGAAATTCTAGATAAAGATTATCCTGAATATTCTACCTCCCAAGATATGGTTCTTGAGGATACCTGGTAAGTTATTTCGCCCCTAATTGTCAGGTACTAGCCAAAAAGATTTGAAACTTACTTTGCTTGCCCAGCTTGTTCAATAATTTTTTGAAAGAGATGAGTGCATTTAGTTCAAAAGAAATTTCCTGGATTTTTGCACCAATAATAAGCCATGAAAAACAGGACCAGATATGCAATATTGCTACCCATAGATTCCAAATAGAACAGCAAAGAAAATAAATGTAAGTTATTTTAAAGTCTACTGCCACGTTTAAGTAATTTTCTTTCTTCCAAAATGCTTAGTTGTGTGGCCTTGCATTGATAACGTATTGAATTCGTACCTATAGCAGGGGAATATTTTCGGATCCTGATGCTCTCTGCAAGCACTTTAAATGGAGCTCAAATTACACAACTTAGAGCTCATTTTTCATAGCTGAATATTGTTAAAAAAAATCCAAGAAAATGTGTTCCTCTTATTTATCTCCTTCAAATGGTGTTCTTTTTCCTTTCAGGACTGATGATGTAAGTCTGAACGCCCCTTCTCGCAGCAACTTGCCGATACCCCTCCCTCCTCCTTCCGGTTTCGATGACTTCCCGCTCTGTGAGGAATCAGATACCGCTCTATCCCTCGGTAGTCTTAAAGCGCTGTTCTCACGTAATGACTCAGATTCATCTCCGGTCAATGATACCGCAGGTATGAGAATCAACATATTCAAATTTACTTAGTCTAATGACATCCTCCAACTATTCCTGGTGTGAGGACTCCAACATAGCTCTTTCAGCGGATACTTCAAGAGCATTAATATATCATCCAATGATTCAATTGAAGTTTCATTTAAAAATTGCACAAATGCAGAGATTTTGAGTGGAGCCATCAAAAGTTTAAGACTTCCTTAAATTCTCTGTAAGAAGCAATCGGATAATACTGTTTGAATTGAACAATTTCCAAAAAAAAATCTTTAAAAGAAATCAGTGGTTGTTTCTTTTCTCCTCTTTCTTCTCTAATTTCTTTGCTATAATGAAGTATGTTAAATGTGATTAATGTTCCAGCTTTAAGTGCGCGGAATTTTTTATACATTTATTTCATGGAAAATGTATTTATTTGATTTGGATGCAATTCATATCGAATAGCAAAGAAAATTTCATTGAAGTCTATAGTTTAGATAGCATGGAAAGCAAAAAAAGAAAAAAAAACTTTTGCACATAACGATGGTTAAATCAGTTTTACTAAAAAAAAATCTAACTTTTAGTGCTCTTATTATAATTAAATTACATTTATGTTTTCTTTAGTTGCAGGCGCTGAACCGGGTGTTTGCGGTCTTCGAAATTTGGGAAATACATGTTTTATGAGTACTGGTTTACAATGTCTCATCGCCACATCTGCTTTAGTTCACTATTTTTTGCAAAAGAATGTCACTCTCTCACTAGATTCCATGAAGGATACCTTAGCCGTTCAATTTTCAGTATTAGTCGAGAAAGTTTGGAGTGGCCAGTACTCAGTAATTCACCCCATTGAGTTTAAACAAACGCTCGGAGCACACTACCCGCAATTCAAGGATTACAGACAAGTAAGTGTCAAAATTACAATACCAGCAGAATAATACCTGAAGTGATACCAATATCGATGTCTAAAGGACAATACCATGCATCTCCATTGCAGTATTTCAAAATCTCTGCTCCTAGTTTATTTTTCAAAGATGAACAAGTCAACTTCATCGCTTGAAATTTATGCAGAATATTTTTTCAACAAAGAATGAAAATCAAGGTAGTCTTCAAGAGACTAGTTAACTAGTTTTCCCAGGAAAAAACAAAGGAAATATGTTGTAAACAGAGATTTTTGGTCTTACATAATTGCTTGAAAAAATCGTGAGTCCACAACACAAAGTGGCAATTGAAAGGGGGGCTCATGTGAGCTGCTCGATCGATTGTTTAAGGGTTGATTGGCTTTGGCGAAGCTGAGTCCTTTGAATGTTCTAATAAACCTGCGTTTCAACCCATAAACAATATTGTCAAGTCAGTCACTAAACTCCGTCCCCCAGCGGCCACTCTACATGTTGTATACCGAAATGGTCTTGTAAGGTCAGAGACATTATATACGACTGGAAAAACTTGAGTGTTGCCATGACATTTTCCGTTTGTATGCCTGAAGTGATAATCTTTGTAGTGAAGTATCACCGTTCAGTCAGAGATTTGGAAGAAAAGAGTTTCAAGTATTGCATGTAATGAATCTCTGCACCTTAAATACTCTCTTGTCAAAATTTCAACCACTAATTTTGTAGGAAAATTTTCTGTGGGATGGAATTTTTACAGAGAACTCAGCTTCCAAAATATTCTGTATAGTGTTAGGAACACTTTTAGTTGAGGAGGCCACTATGAATGGAGAATATAGACTAAATGCAGACAATTTTAATATCTGTCCACCATTCTTCACTTTACCCATGAAAGCACTGAGAAGCATTGAAGTTATAAGATGTATGAATGAGTTTCATCCAGCTAATGAAATTTGTTTCCTTTCAGCATGACTGCCAGGAATTTCTTGCTCTGTTGTTAGATGGTTTACACGAGCAGCTGAATGTAGCATCTGGGAAGGCTCTTGTAGAAGAAGGGAATAATGCATGTCCATCATCTAGCTCTCTATCGCCACAGAATGTTCCAGAAACTGTTAGTTCAGCGCCAAAATCCCCGAGTTATGTAAATTGCAACAATGAAGTAGATCCAGAGGTTGAAAAGATAGAAGGTGAAACTTGTGAAGTAGGAGGAGACGCAGGCTGTGATATTAATAATGTAGTCGAATCTCAGTTAGTTAAAAATTGCAATGTCGAAAACGAGCAAACTTTAAAAATCAGTAAGATCAACAATTGTAAACAGGAGGTCAGTATGCAAAGAGGACCGCGTGGGTGTCCGAAAACTGCAAAAGATGTCCTGAATAACGCTCAAAGTCCAAGATTAACTGGTTATGAAGATATAATGAAGGATGCCAAAACTTCCAATGTAAATGTTCTAGTCACCAAGCCAGAGGCCAACAATGAGATCAGGTTCGATTCAGAGAAATTCCCTCGTCATGAAAAATTCCGAGGCCGCGATTCGATCAACTTCAACACTTTTCAAGTCTATGAAAACAACACCAACGGCAAACGAGGCAAGAGTACGATGACCTACTTCAACTCTGTATCTGACACAGACGGTCTTGATTTCAAGCGAATCAAAATGAATGACTCTTCCTCAGTGTCAAATCTTCTCGATAAAAACCATCAGCTTGAATGTGAGAGAAAAGTAGACATAAATTTACTGGAGAAAAACGTCAGGATAGAAGAGGAACGTAAGAAGAAGTTGATCAATAGTTCCATGGCTGTAGATTCAATTTTGATGGATGACGAGAGTAGTGAGGATACAAATTATGATGAGGGTACAATGAACGGAGACAGCAAAGCTGTGTCACTAGGAGAGGCAGCAAGGGATCCTGGGGTTGAAGATGAAGCTGATGAACACTGGGAGAAACATTTGGCCAAGAACCGCAGCATCATCGTTGACACGTTTCAAGGACAGTTTAAAAGCACAGTAAGCAATTGTTTGTTGAATTTTTCTTCTTTCCAATTATTCAATACTTCTGCCCCAATTAATTTCTTAGCCAAAACAATCCTGCTCTAGCTATTGCCTGGTAGAATATGCTGGTCTTCTCGTAAGAATAGAATGTTAAAACTTAAAATTTTATTTTAACTACTTTGTGTTCTAGTGTTTTAGTTACTTGGGTGCAGAAACCAATTATATTAATCTGATGATCTTATGTGCCATGGTTTTGTTAAAGATCCATTTGTTTTTCAGACTCAGAAATGAGCAATTAGATGCAATAAGAAATAGAACCTGTTTTAGGCATTTATCAACTGAAGGTTCAAAATAAGGACCATGGAATTAGCTTACATCAGAAAAATCAATGGCAAACCCATTAGCTGTGGTTTATTTTGGTATTTTAAAATCGATTAATACGTTTATGACAACTCAGTTAAAATGAAACCCAAAAAAATTCTCAAGCGTATGTGTTCAGGCTGGGATATAGGGCTAAATAAAACAAACATAATGTATCCATGGCTATATTTTGAGTTCATTTCGTCATTTCTCAGACTGTAAAATGTTACTACTTTTCAATGTTTCAAAGTTTATTTTTACCAGGAAACTGTTAGGCATTTTATAATGAAAATTTCACTGACCTCTCCTCGGATCACACGCTAAAATCAGCAAAATTTGGGACAGATATTGCTCAGTCATATTTTTGTAAAAAAAAAAAAAAAAAAAAAAAAAAAAAATAGTTGTTTGTGCCAATTATGTAACCCTGAAATCAAGATACAATTCCTCATCTGAGAAATGACAATTTGAGGTGGATGAAGAAAGAACAAAAATTACTCCTACAATCTCTCATCTTAAAAACGTTTTAATCCTTTGATATCAATGAAACAAAAGAGAATTGATTGGATTTGACCTGCAGTCTCTGATGCAAGAGAGTTCTGCCTGACGCACTTTAAAATTTATAAAATATTGGTTGATTTCATTAAACAAGTGTTTTTTACTGAAGCACACTCGGTGACCTAAAAGTGATTTTTCTTTTTTTTAATTTCCAGGTTGTGTGTTCCGCTTGTCAGTTCGTTTCTGTGACGTACGAGCCGTTTATGTACCTTTCAGTTCCTCTCCCCCATGCAATGGAAAGGCAACTTTGTAAGTGTCAATCCATTATTTTATTTCAGTTAGCGTATTGATGGTAACTTTTTTTTTTAAGAGTCCAATGCATCTGCTTTTCATGAGAAACTGCAGTCTGAAACTAACATGAACAAAGTGAGAAGGAAATTGGAACACAGTCAATAGAAAATGTGCCTTTTGCTAAATACGAGTTGACCACCCGACCATATTGGAATGTCAGTTTAAGTAAGCTCAGTTATCAAGTATTTCAATATGTGTTTTCAGATTAAAATTTTAAGTACAAAACGTTGGGAACATCCAGAGGTGCAGAAAATATGGTATCATAAGTCTAGTTTAGGGATCATTGAGGGAACCTGTTCCCTTCACACGTATTCACATATTTACACTTTGAAAAGCCATCATCAGAGCTCCAAACCCAAGGAATTTTGGAGCTGGTTCTAAAGATCCTGATATTTTCTAGTTCCCTCAAAGTTACAGTCTGGGCTCCGAATTTGGTCCCACTTTGGGTCAAGGAATGTTTCCCCAAAAAGTCTACATAGTCAAGAAAATATTTTTTCTAAACAGCTTAAATACTCTTTAAATTTACATCTAGTATCATCCACATCGCATCGAGAAAATTGGCAAATTCTGTCTACCCCCTCCTCTCAATTTTTTTTTTCTCAATCGTAAGATGCATTTTCATTCATGCAAACTAATCTCCACAGGTGCTGTAAAAATTGACCGTTTTGAAGAGTGAAAAATTGGGAATACTTTCATTTTTAAAAAGCGAGGTATATTTGAAAATGGACTAAATATGCCCCAAGGAATTTGCAGCTTTTGGGCACTTGACAAGATCAAGTATCTCCCAAGACTTAGGAAAATTATTGCGGTCTTGCTGAAAAGTGCTAGGTTGCAACATCTTCATTTTTTAAAGTGAAAACCTTCAAAAATGTATGGCTCGGCTACATTTCAATCAGTCTCAATAAGTTTTTTTTTTTTTAAATTTAACTCTCAAATAGAGCTTTTTAATAGTGTGTAAGATTTTTGAGTTTACCTGTAATGCAAACTGCAGGCATCTTTTTTATTTGGCATAAGATGCTTTCAGAAGTTTTGGACGCAATGAACATACCTTGAGTGAAATTTTGATTAGGAACATGTCTCAAGGAAGTTTAATTCGTACCCTGTTTAGTGGTACTTAGCTGTATAATGCAATCATTGTTCATCCATGATGGAGCAATTAACAACTGTGCAAATGTTGCATGAGGCAAGCAACTAGAACATAAGACTTGTTCCATTATTCTCTTTTAAAAAGTTATTCATGTATGTTTCAGATGTTACATTTGTTCCTGCTAAATCCCATGAACCAGTGGAATATTTACTTACTTTGAACAAACAAGACCGCGTTGCCAACATCAAGGAGCATCTTCTGAAATTACTGGATGAGCCAGTAGCTTCACAGTTGATGGTTGCAGAAGTTTTGGATAATCATATAGCAAAAATCTTGGTAACTACTTATGCCCCCTCTATTTTTCCTACCTTTGGAGAATGAAGGCATTAGAACATACTGAAAAAGTTTTCACTTGTGTCGGTTTTTCCCCCTTGTTGGAGAGTGTTTTTTGATGAGGTTCAAAATCGAATTTCAAGTTTGAGTAAATTTTATCGGTCGAAACATCTGACTCTGTGCAAACTCCATTTATTCTCTCTTAATTTTTGAATTTAAGAAGTTTTAGGAAATAATTTGCAACCAATAAATATACCTACAAAATTAGTCCAGATAGTGAAGTATACCTTCCCCTGTGTATTTTCCCCAAGTTAACTGTGTATTTGATGCTGCCTGACACTATATACTGATCACATATTGCACTGCATGTACGAGGGAGTACTCGCTTTCAAATTTCATTTTTTCTCCTTTTAAGTAGGTGTTTTGCCTTATGTAAGGCAGTGATTGACCTTTCTCTTCCCTCTCTAAGACTCCTCTCAACCCCCTAAGTGCCCTACGTAATTTAATATCGGCCCCCAAAGTTGAAGTATATTTCTTATCTTAATCCTAACAAAAAAATTGAATTCTTTCAGGATGATGTCTATCTTATCCGTTACGTAGACGATATCAATCGCAAGCTGTACATATTTGAATTAGTTGTTCAACAATTGAACTCCAATCTATTTGGAGATGATGGTGCTACTTCAAACCCGGTAAAATATCCTTTTTAGTTCCGTCCTGCATAGGATTTTTCTTTATAACCATCAAATGCTTTGTTTAACTCCTCAAATCATGCCACATATATTTGAACTGTTCCAATCTTTGATTTTCTGATGCAAAATGATTCGGGAAATGGAATCTACCAAAAAGACCCTGCATAACATCAGAGTTTGGCTTATTTTTCATGACTCCTCTTTTAACTCAGAACAATACAAGAGAGCGTTTCATCTCAATAAATTTTAATGAATTTTTTCAACTTTTAGAGACCGAGCCAATTTGTTCCACATTGTGTTAAAACAACTTCCAACACTTTTCATTTGGTACGGTTTCATTGGTTGACAAATACAATTTGGCTGTAGGTCCATTTAGAAATAAGTTGGAAAATCTGTCAACATGACCCTCTGAAATTTTTCCGCTTTCTCCACATAGTTCATTAATGCTCTCACCTTCATTATTGAATTTCACCATAATATTCTTCTTTATTTTACTGAGAACAGCACCTGCCCAAGAAATGTTATATTCTGTTTTTTTTTTCTTACGAGATATTTAATTCACTTTCCCACCCTCCCCTTCACAGTCAATCGAAGGTTTTGGAGATTGTGAGGACTTAGCGGAGAATGTCACTTGTACAATTTGTTTGGAAGAGAAGGATACCAATATCAAGCAACATGTAGACTGCTCCTGTTTTCTATGTAATGATTGTACAAAAGTGAGTATACTGCCATCTTTTCCATCATTCTTTCGCCATCAAGTTACCATGTAACCCTTTATGTCCTTACGTCGATGTTTTCCAATGAATGTTTATTGTTTCTACCCTCAAAGGAAATGTTTTTGAAAACATGTCCATCCCTTCTTAAATCTTGATAAATCACAAGAGTGCTGTAAATAACAGTCTCTATTCTGCAGTAAGTCAATCTTGACAACACTTTGGAGGAAAAAGCATACAGCTAATAGAACTTCTCTCCATAGCCGTAGCCTTCGAACATTGGGAGCTAAAGAGGGTCAAGTTTCTGATTTGGAGGGAGTTTTGGAAGACTAGATTCAGGCTCATTAGTCATCTTTACTCCTGGGTTTCTCTCCTGTTTTTATCATATGTGGAAGCAACCACCTATCATCTATCAAAGGAACTTTGCCGTTATTCCTCTCCAGCGTATAGCTACTGACTTATGCCATTTTGGTGGCTGGATGCAGGTAAAGTCTTGAAAGCATCTGGCCTAATAGTCTAATTGCGCTGTAACACTCATCACTGTTTAGAGCCTTCAAAGATGTAAAGGAAATATTTAAAATGTATAAAGTGGAATAATTGTTTTTGTAACATCACTAAAAAATTAACGAATCAAGACCGTCTGAGGAACAGGACTTCAGCCCACATTCACTCAAAACTGAGTCATTGATTGCATAGATGGGTATTCTACAAACGTTTTTTTTTGACAAAAAACACTCAAAAATGTGAAACCAAACAAAAGTAATGACAGTTAGAAATTAACATTTCAAATAATATAACTTTGAGAAGAAGCTATTTACAATTCTAATCTGACATGTTCAGGGTACAAAATTGCCTGGTTTCAATACAACTTGGCGCCTTTCATTCTCTTGCACTACCTCTCCTTCTCACACGCTATCTCTCATCCCAAACAGCAAGAATGATTGAAAATGTATAGAAGTAGTAACCGATCTACCTGGAAACATCACCGTGAAAAATGTATCTTTCCCTTTCTTGCTGACTTGGTCAGTGCATGCTCAGTATAACATTACAGTGGATTTACGCGGTGATAACAGATGTTTATTTTTAACAGCACTTGCGAACTCATAATGATGAAGACCAGCTCAAGTGTCCAGTATGCCAAGCTGTAATCTCACCTGAAATCGATATGGTACCCGTGAAACATTGTAGCTCAAAATCAAGTTTTCGGTCAGTGTCCTTCCTTATTCCAGTGTTCTTTCTTTATACATTTTTTTGTGATTCAGTCGGCAAGTCATAATGACTTTGTATACACTGGTTAAATTTTCTATCAATTGTGAGATAATCTAATTGTCAATTGTGAAACAATTCACTTGGTCCATCGAAATATGATTCCACTTGTCAATCCACACTCAATACCACTGGTCAATCAAAAGTGAACTCGACTGGTAGATCAACAGTTAATTTGACTGGTGGCTCGACAGTCGATTTGACTGTTGGATAAACAGTTGAATTGACTGGTGGATCCACAGTCGAATTGACTTTGGTCCCAGCTGACGCATTTGTCATCAACAAAGAACCAAACATCCCTTTATTTAGTAAAAAGAAATGTAAATTTGATTCATTTTCTTTTCAAGATAGGTTTAGGTTTCAAATTAATGCAAGTGTTTCTAGCTCTGATGACGGTTCAGCTCAATCTCACCAACAGAAGTGTAATCAGTCCTCATTCGTGTTGCCACCAAGTTAAAGTAAATGGAGCATTTCTCTAAAATATTTATATTCAACTTTGCTATGAATGCTAATATGCATTATGCTTTCCTTGCAGATTATTATGAAATTGAAGTCTCTTTTTGTCAACCATTTAATCTGTTTAACGTTGTATTTTCTTTTTCATTTTTTCTCTAGGTTGCTTAACATTCCTGTAGTTTTTAGATTGGATAAAGTTGGAGATGGGAACAATAATCAAAAAACTGTTGAACTTTTTGGTCATCCATGTCTTCTTCGCTTGTACAATCGTTTACAAGCCACTGATTTATATGAAATTGTTGCATCTCGTTTCAATTATAGTCAACCATTCAAATTACTCCTGGTGGATGGCCAGGTAAGTTTTTTCCTGGTACTATAGATGCTTTCGAAGTTACCATGCCTTGAGAGATTGCGAATCTTAGAATTTTTCACTGGAAATGATTTTAGAATGTAAATTTTCTGCCCTAAACAAGGGCCTCTTTCTCGTGAGGTGTTCCAAATAATTCTCTGATCATGACTGTCAATTTTATTGCAACGTCACACCTTTTCAAGATAGAAGTGAACTCCATCGACTGTAACTTATTCTCAGGAATACATCAGAGTGTTCTCCTTTAAGAAGTCTAATTCTGTTTTTCAAACAAGACAAAACAAATTTAAGAATAAGATTTCCAAAAATTACTCATGTGCTTTATAATCTCTTTTTTGAAGAAGATATCATTTAATATTTATCCTACGTTAATGTGTTTTTGCATAATATTTCCAGTCAGGCCAGAGAAACAGGCAAAGAAACAGCGAAATGCAAAACCTTCAAACCACAGTTCACTGCGGATTACTGTGATGCTCCACTTTCTATTCATTACACACATAACTGGACTGCATTTTGCCATTTGGAGCTATAAATTCTGTCTCATCGGAAAAAACACGTATGTGCATAGGGAAACTAATGGCTCATACGTTGTCTCTATACCGGGCCAGAATTTATAGTTCCGAATTGCAAAATGCAGTCCAACTAATACTTGACAGTTAGTTCAGTGTAAGACCAGCACAATGAATGCAAACAATACAAAATGCTGGTTACTGTGACTGTTTGGGCTTTGTGCAACAAGCAAATCTGTCTCTATGACCGGCCTGGAAGTAAATATGTTGATCAAATGATAGCTTTGAAAACAATTTGCTCTCAAAATAGTATTATAGGACCAACCTGCTTTCAAAGCTATCATTTGATCAACAAATTCACTGCCAGGTTGGTCCTAGAGACTTGTTCTGTGTTGGTTGCGACAGGCAAAAAAGATCAAACCGAACGGAACTGATTGTAGTGCACTGTGAAACTGATGGGAAATGTAACGCTGCAGCAATAAGTAGTAATTAAGGATTGAAGTATGCGCAATTTGCAGTTGTCTTCCGTACTTTGCAAAAGATTAGCATGTAAAATGAATTATCATCTCAGCTTGGCCTCTGATCTACAAGTTAAATAGAATCTGAGACACATCCATTTCTGTAAAGGTCCATTTATCTCAAAACGAAACCTTAAAATGGCCGTCATTGGCGATGGGAGAATCCAAAAAATCTAGAAAAATTGTTTTTGTGCTTCTAGTGGAGAGGTAAATGAATAAAACAAAAGTAGGGACTAGCTGAGTAACAGTCCTGGAATGATTTTGCATGGAATGACTAAATTTCCTCTGTTATTCAATAATTTACTCAGATTACTGGAATTTTGTTGCCGATTTCAGGGCCGGCGGTGTTCGCGTTGCATGTACAATGCGCATTGTAGAGGCTGTGTCATCCCTAAAGAGGGTCCTGTGATTCTGCGGTCGGATGACAATATAGCTATAACGTTCAGCTCTCCTGTTCCTGTTACTCCACCGAGTAAACATCCTAGCACGGTTGCACTGCGCCCTAACCAGCCTCTTACTCTCCATGACTGCGTCCGGGCTTTTAGTCAGAGGTAACAATATTCATCAAAGTCTTTTGTGTAATCGTGATTATCCATGAGAAAAAGGACCTACATTGCAGCAGAGACTCAAAATTGAGTCCTTGGTACTAGAACAAGAGGAGAAGAGTGTTGTATGAACATTTTGGGACTAAGGAGGGTCCAAAAATGAACTGATAATTTTAGAAATGGACCACTAGACAAGGTACAAAATGAAGTATTCTGATACATGTCTTTCAACGAAAATTTCACGTAGAACACGATTTAAGGAACGAAAATTACTGAAACTAACTCCTAACCAAGATATTCCATGTTTCTTGTCACGTGAATTCAAGCCTCCCGCTCATGAAAACTCAAGGGTCTGCGTGAGTCAGATCGCACACTAAACATTACCGTGGTAGTCTCTGCGATGTGAAAATATAGGAGCCTCAGTCATGACACTTTGGCTCAGTTGTAGCAAATTGTTTACTTTTTGAACACTGAAGGGTGGGAAAGGAACAATGCTTGATTGAGAAGCCTGCCGAAACTCTTGTAAAGCATGATTTGACTCACGTAGAGTATTGAGTTTCTTGTGACCGGGCAATTCAAATGTTCCGTAATCAACGTACAATAAAAATGTTAATATCTTAGTTAGGAGTTAATTTCGGTCATTTTTGATGAGAGAATCATGTTTTATCTGCAATTCTGGTTCAAAAACATGTAACAGAGTGCATAAATTCGTCCCTTGTCTAGTGGTCCATTAAGTAAGCACCAAATTTCAACACATAGGTTTTTAATGGATTATTCAGGGTTGCCGGCAGTCTGGAAAATCAGGGAATTTGCAATGACCGGGATAAGTCAGGGAATTTCTGACACATCTACTAATCACTAAAACAAATCACCAATTTTCCAACTGTTTGCCCTTTCTTGTCATTTTTAAGGATTGACATCTTTTACAGAGTTTCTGAACACCTTTATCCATAATTTGATATCTAACGAGGAAATTTTGTCCAAAGTTTAGAGAAAATTAGCATATTAAAAGTAAAAAGGCAGAAGTTTTGTTCGAAGTTCAGGGAAAGTTAGGGAATTAGAAAATTTTGGAGTTTGGGAAAAGCAAAAATAGTCGGGGAAAAATCAGGGTTAGTCTCGGAATTTGATATCGAAGGAATCATGGCAACCCCGATCATTATTGCCTATTCCAGGATGCATCTTACAGTGAAATGAAGTTTGACAAAATTAAATTTTGAGGCCCCAAAGAGCTCTAAACTTACTAGCTTACTAGCTCTAAGCAGTTGCAGTTGATTAATTCTGTTTTTCTAGTTTTTATGCTATCGTCTATTTTTTTTGTTTTTTTTTTAAATGTGGTGCTCATGTCATTTGAAAAATACTTGATTTTAATGTTAAATCAAACAAGAGTGATGACAGTTTAAAGGTAGTAGTTTTTCAAAAGAGTTTTCAAAAAAAACCTTAAAATTAAAACGTAAAATTCAAATTTGCCATGTCTAGGGTTCACAACTGTCGAGTTTTGATGCATTTTCAGCCCTCTGAAGGCGAAAATTATCCAAACTACCCATAAATAATCCTTCAGGATACCAAATCTCTTGAGAATTTTCTGTAGAAATTTTCAAATTTGGTATTTCAACCCAGCTACAAGAATGTGCAAGTGAAAAATTTTCATCATGAAGGAAGGCTTGTGTTTTGCCGTTTTTGGAAAGCAAAATAAACTCGCAATATTTTTAAGAGAATGGGGTACTTTCCCTCTCAAAGCAGTAATCATTGAAAATCCCACCCTCTCCCCATTCATATACATTTTTTGGGACCATACTTAACTTATTGTTCATTTCTATGTCTATTTGTTTCAGTGAAATTTTAGATGAGCACAACCCCTGGTACTGTCCAAAATGCCAGAAAAACCAGTGTGCAACTAAAACTTTAACTGTTTGGCGTTATCCAGATTATTTAATAGTTTATCTTAAAAGGTAAGATGATTCCTTTGAATGTGCGCAAGTATAATAATAAATTCTACATTTGACAATGGTCAATTTTATTCTCTCGAGATTCATTTATAGAGCCTCCACTCCCCTCCTTACTTTTTTAGAACTTGAACGGGTTGAAGATGAAAATGTTTCATCGCTGTCCTTAAGTTTATCCCTGATAATCGTGACAGCAAAATAATCTGAAAACACCCAAAACCAAAAGGACTGGAGTTTTTCTGATACTCCATTTTCTAAATGATTTTTTTTATCTTTTAAATTTTACATAGCTCAAAATTTTAAGGAGTATCAAAAATGTGCCTCTTTTTGTAGTGACCCTACATACTATCATATTACTACTATCATTTTCTCTCTCCTTCTCTTATATTCTCCTCCTCTCATTGAATTTATGCATTTTTCAGATTTGTGTTCCATGAATGCTCCAGTATGAAACTAGAGGATAAAGTCATTTTCCCTCTTTGTGGTATGAAATTAGATCAATGTTGTGATTCTCTATACGATTTGTATGCCTGCGTTTGTCACAACGGAGGTAAGATTTTAATTTTCTTTATTTCATACACTACCATACCGGCAATGCTGAATTTTACATCTTAACTATCATGAGAACTATTGGGTGCAAAGACACTTACATTTTTCAGGTTAAATTTGTTATCAAAGAGTATCTGAATGAGTTACTGTTTAATTTGGGTTGGACTCTAAAGTGAAAGTGTTAAAAATTCCTTAAAAACTGTTCGAAACAATGTATAATAAATGAAATTTTGAAACACCAGTCAAAATAGTTGATATTTCTTTTTAGCTCTTGCCAAAGAATAATGGATCATAGTCTCCTCTGATTCTAAAAAAGCATCTGCAAAAATTTGGCAGACGTTTGTGAAAAGCTGACGAAAGTCTTGAATTAACTCTTTTGAGTCCCATAAATTTATGCATTAAAAAAGACTGATAAACCATGGTACAGAATCTAAAACATCTCGTTATTTCTTTCCTAGGTGTCACTGCTGGTCATTATACAGCATATACGCAGCACCTTCAAACTAGCGAGTGGCACTATTTCAATGATGCTAGTTTTAACAAACAAAAACCTCAAGAAGAAGACTTTAGCAACGCTTACGTTCTATTCTACAAAAAACAAGGTAATGTTTCCTTTGTGATTACCCTCTACTAAGCAAATTGAAAATCACCAAGTTTTCATTCACTCCATTTAATTCGTTGACTTGAGCCTCCTGTAACTACCTACCTCCTCTGCAGACTGGCATGAAAGAGCTAAAAATATTTTTTTTTATTACATAGTTGTTTTTTTTTTTTATTTACTGTTTTGGGTAAAAAAATAAGGGCAAGGTCAGATACAGTTTTGTAAGCCTCCATGTGTGTGATTGTATCCGTGATCAACATTTTTTGCAGGGATCAAGTATAACTGCCAAATTTTTTTTCTTAGTCAAGTTTTTGACAGATTTCTCTCCTTGGGAGGTATTCTCATCCTTTGATTAAGTGATTTTGCTGAAATCTTTGTTCAAATGCCGCATTCTTTTGGATTTTGAATCTATACTTTAGTTGGAGGGAGCAAGTAAAAAGTTCTGTGCCCTTCTATCAAATAGAGCTTCGAAATTTCAAAGAAGCATGAGTAAGCATGTGAATTATTTCATCTCTTACTATCATTAAGAACTCAAGCTGCTTGACTTTCATAATTGAAGAGGTGGCTGCAAGAACTGCCCACAAGCGAAAACCGTGTTGCACAAAAAAACAAATGATTCACATATCTTTATGCGTTTTTCATAACAAGGTTTTTCGTGTATAGGCTGTTTTTGAAGCCACCTCCTCAATTACAGATTAAAAAAAGACAATGGTGTTAAGTTTTGTAGGAAAAGGGCTTATTGGCCAAAATTTTAAATTTTTATTATATTCTATCACAGGTAAGGACCAAATACATTAGCATGGTTGCCGTGGTCCCAACTTTGAAGTCCCCAAATGAAGAGGCAACCCTGCTATTGTATCTTCTCCCTATTCGTGCATGGTGAGTTTGACTAGATATAAAGGTGGACTCACAAAGTGGCATGGGATATCTCCTCCATTACGGTCTGGACTTTGAGAGCACCTTTTTGAGTTTTGAAGTTTGTTTCAGAGAAATCCAGTGACACCATTGTTTTTTTTTTGCGAAAGTACGAAAGTACTCAAATCGCAAATCCCCCACACATGCAAGAGCTCCATTAATGATTGTGTCTGATTGCAATCGACGATTTCCCAATTATTTGTTGCATGATTTGTTTCTCGTATGAAAACGCAGCACTGTTGTAGCATTTCTGTATCCTTCTATGTCCATTGGCTTATGGAAAGTAATGGCGAAATCTGTGAAAAATTAATGCTTTCATTTGATCACTCATAGTTTATTTTTGCCGACATTGATGGATATATAAGTATGGACTCTTCTGTTGCAGGTGTAGGAGAAGAACTCTATCTCGATAATGCAAGTGATTGTTTATTCAGTTGATGATGGTAAATTTTCAGATCCTTCGTCACAGGAATCACATAAATGTGTTTTTTGCTTTCGGTGAATGTAATTATATGTTTGAATTCGAGTTTGTAACTATTTGTCTATCAGATTGATTGTATTCGATCTAGGTCAATCACATTTTACATGTCTATTCTTTTATTTACGATAAACTTGTGTATTTTGAATAAAGTTTCATCTTAATATCTGAGAAGCTTTTATTTGTCCACTGAAATAGTTTAACGATGATAGATCAATGAATGCAGTAGTTCATTTCTCTGTCAATGATAGAAATATACAATGTGTCAGTGGCAGAGAAACTGTGGCTGATATAATGTTGTAAAAGTTATCACACCGCAAGTTGAAATCATAGAATGCTCTGCAGGAAGCTACAAAAATGACTTCCAACCGATCATTAATTGTGCTTTAATAGGATTTGAACCAAAGTTTCAAAATACCGAAGAATGAACATACATTTTTCAGAGAGCTGTTTGATTTTAACACATTGCTATGCCAACCATACCCTGGGGTCAAGGACCCACCAGGCTCAATATTAATTTTTGAAATTTTGATGCTAGTCGATTTTTCATCATGGTAAAGATGTATCGATTTTTGAACCAGAAAAATGCAAATATCTCCACAAGAATGAAGTATAAACGACAGTGATACTGATTTCTGTTGCATCCTTTAAAAGTTTTTGATGATGTATCGTTTATTCCAAAGAAATCCAAACAAAATATTTCCTTGACATTTTTGGAAAATATTTTTGAAAAAGCGAGGAAAATTTAGCATAACTGTTGGATATTTTTCTTTTAAGAAAATAGAACAAGAGCAGACTTACAACGTTGAATTCATTTTTTATATAAATGGACACCCTATGTCTTAGCATTTCTATTTACAGACTAACACACACACACACTGGCTATGAGCTATGCTAAGATCTGAAAAAAAAAATCAAGTCAGGGTTTGGTTGATGAAAAGGAATGATAAAGTTTATTTCTAGAGTAAAAATAAATTAAGATATTACAATACTTAAGTGAACATTAACAATGATTAAGTCTTTTATAAAAGAATAAATGTTACTTTTAAGTTAGGTATTTTAGAAAATTAGGAACAAAGTAATCAGGGAAAAAAGAAGATCAGGATAAACATTGACAACTTCTTTCTCATCTGCGCAAACTATTTCATTTGAAACCTCAAACTTGTAATAATACAAAAACAACATTTTTTAAAAGAAAAAAAAATTATAATCTTATATTGTAAATCATTTATAACAGCCAATATCAACATTTTGAGAGTAGAAGGCACATCCAATATATTTGAGGAAAAGTTTCATTGATTACTAATTTTTGCAGAATGGGCCATTTTACCACCTGCTTAAGGTGAGGTATACCTTCTGATCGGGAAGTTCAAAAATACAATAAGAAAATGTGTTTTTGGTCGTTTGCTGGAATAACAACACTGAAATGAAGAACGGTTGTGAGGATAAACATCCTTAAAAATTGGGGAGAGTTCATCATTGGGAATGCCTAATTCCTTTAATTCATGACTGATTTTTGAACTATGAAAAGTCAATCGCTCAGCACAATTGGTATTGACAAATACTAAACAGCTTGAGACTTTGAATTTTCTTTTCTAATTCTTCATTTTGTTAACCAAAAATACATTTTCTTCCATGATAGTTATAAATTTTACAAGCGGAGAGTAAACTCTCACATTGAACCATCTTTTGCGGTTAGGTTGAACAGACAGTATAATTGTTAGACAATGGAATCTTTAGGGAACAAAACGGATGTTTCATTGCACCAAGAGGTGGTAGATTACCGGGCCAAGATCCACAAATATGGAAGCTTAGCTATACTTTAACGGTTTTTTAACCTGGAGAGTTATCATTTTCTAAAATAAGTTTAAAATATACTACGCACTAGTCAAAATCTGAATTTAAGCATCACATGGCAATCATGGTATGATTTGGACAGAATTTAACAGAAACGTAGCAAATCGTGTTTTGGAAAGAAAATAAGGTAGGAATAGTTTTGGATTCAGCTAGTTATATAGTTTCTCCTGTAAAAACTTCAAAGCCAAGAAAAAATATTTTGAACGTGATAATAGTCGTTAAACTTCGTTCTTATCATTGAGTTTTACGTAAAAACAAAACTTTAAGCCTCTCTTTGGTAGATCAAACTAGATGTGACTTGATCTGTTTCCGTTGCATTGTGTCCGTTTCTTAGTAAATTTAGAGTAATTCTTCACACAGAAAATTATTTGACCCATATAGATGTGCTCCCATGTTGACTATAGCAGATGTAATATTTTTCATTTGGATTAGTTTGAAGCACGAGGAGGGTGTGATTTCATGTGAGACTTTCTTACTGTAATACTGATAATCAATGGTGGGTAATTTTATAAACTGATGATTATATTGAAATTTTGTTCAAGAGTTGGTAGAATGATCGAAATTTAAAACTAATATTAGCTTTTTAAATCTGAAAATGACTCATAGAATTACACAAGATTTTTCGACAACATATTTTTGATTAGGATTTCGTCTTTGCAGTTCATTTGCTTCTTATGTGATGAAAATTCAAGTTCTAAGACAGTGATGAGGTGAGAAAAAGGATAAAAGCAGTGGTGAAAATGTGCACGAACTCAGCACAAGATAGAAATTAGATGTGTTGATTTTGTTGTGGGTGTCATGAATGGTCTAAAGAAATAAGCATCAACAAAATAATTCTCAAATGACGAGAAACTAAAACTACATTGCACATTGGCTGTAACAACATGGCTCCTTCAAAAGATTCCGAGAGTAAAAATGCTTTCAACAAAAACACATGATAACGAAGAAAGCGGAATACAGAATACAAAAGCTTCAATGAACAGTCTTTCGACTGCTGACGATCTTGTTGGAAGGGAAAGTTTAAGTAGAAGAGGAGATCACGAACCTTTAAGGGTCGTTATCAGACTGAAGTCTCATCATATAGTAAGAACAAAATGCCGCTCCCCATTAAAGGTTTGTGCTTTCCTCTTTCCCTCAATTCAAACTCCATCTCTTGGCTTCAAGGATGAGGAGTTAACTAAAAATGAAAAGATGATTCCCTGCCACCAAAAGCGACTCCACTGTCTCATACCATTAGAGCAGTCAAAAAAGATTTCATTTTCCTATCCTCAAGCTCCATCATAGAGAAGACTATACTTATAGCTAGGTGAAAAAACTGAAAAATACTGATTTTTTTCTTATCAGAAAGTTAAAATGACTATCTAAATTTTCTATGATTCTGACTGGAATATGAGACTTGAAAATTTAAGTATAATTGAAAGTTCAAAGGAGTTGAAGCATAATACTTTCTTACAAATAGAAATCATCAAGAACAAAAAGAATCTATACCTATAGTGGGATTAAAACTTGATCTCATGAGTCAACATTTTTGCTCTTGCTTAGCTTTTTAAAACGAACACATTTTGACTCAGGGGTGCAGAAAATGTTGAACGTAGCATGAAGAAATCAGGCATCATTTTTGTGTCCACTGTAAAATTTGTCCACTTCTTATTAAGTCCATTTTTTAAGTAGTCCATGTAAAATTAAGTCAATGGAGATTTTGTGTCCATTGATTTTATGTCCATCTAAAATACTAACGAAAATGACAATCTTATTCCTACAAAGTGGCAACTAAGCTTTGCACATGGGCAGTGCCACATGCTTTTCGACTCGATAATTATGGATTCATTATTTTGTGGAAGAAAAGATTATGAACACAAATTTAAGTGGACATCTGTTAGTGGACGTAAAATTGCGGACAAAAAGTCCTGGTACCAATCCATGAGCACCGAAATATTTTGGTGAAAATTGTTTCCCTTCATGAAAAATGAAATAATAACGACAAATTGCGGTAAGTAGGTACTTTATAAAATTTATAGGCTCAGTGAGTGCTATGGACTTTTTTGCAAAGTAAAGAGACCCGAAAAATGAGGTATTTTTGAGACAAAGATTGCGGCTAATTTTTGCACATAAGAATTTTCTGCATCCCTGCTTCGACTAAGACTAACTACTACCGTTGCAAAAAATTTTTAGAAAATAATCTTGCATGCATACCGAGAAATTATGTGGAAATGCTCAAATTGAAACCAGGTGAATATTTCTTATTTAAAGAAAATTATTTTGAGAACTGAGAATGAAGCTAACCAAGATTCAGTGTTTTTTGGTTCCACCATCAATGTTAATTCTTGAGAAATTACTTGGCGTAGTTTTACAATAGGTCAGTTGTGCTATTACAGATTTGCATTTTGATGGTTTATGTTTATAGATCAGGAAAAAAAATTCAATCCGTCCAAACGCCAACTTTCTGCATTTAATATTGGTCCAGAGATCACCAATCAAAACACACGGCATTGACGTCATGCTTTGCGGTTGTATATACCATAATTTGGTACTATGGTCTTCCACCTTAGTTTCATTTGTATTTTATGTCCAGCAACCAGTGCAAACGAGTGGACAACTGATTGATCAATCCAAGGTGGAAGAAGCCATGGTATTCACTATCGCAATGGATGGATTAAGACGTATACACTGTATTTTTTGAAAGGCAATATCTGCATTAATATTGAACGTAAAAACTTGGCATTTGGATGAATCTTTTTATTTTATGCTACTCTTTAAGCTTAAACTAGCAACACATGATTCTGTAACTAGCACAACTGACTTATTAAATCTTGATAACCTGTTCTACGATCTGGGCTATTTTTATTGATGTTTAAACCATTTGTTAACTCCATTTTCTTACGACCCCAGAGATCCATAAAAGTGGTTGCATATTCGAGCTCATCAGAAAATAAAGAAGTTAGGTTATAAACTTGGCAAATTTCATTAGTTTATTTACTGACAGTCAGTAAAAGAGGGAGTTTTTTGTGCACAGACAGTAACGTATCATAAAACTCACAGCCTTTACATTCATTAATTAGAGTACTTTAAGGATACTACTTTGAATCATCATAAGGCATTTAATTCAATGCAAACAATAGGCAAATAAATTTGCTCCAGGGATATGTAATTCAAATAAAATGGTGTAATTGTTGGTCCATTTAGTGAATCATTCTAATGTCAATGCGAATATAGAATACAATCCGAAGGAGATTTGTTGAAATTTTGTGATCATTTATTGGACATAACAAAAGTGGAATGGAATGGAACTTTATGATTGGTCGGCAGTCACACTTGTTTTCTTTGTCATGCCTCATGGGTCCTGAGGATTAACAGTTGTATTGGTAATCGAGGAGGTGCTTTCAGTTTGCCAATTGCACAGTTGAGTACAGTCATGACAAAGAAAACAAATAGGACAACCGACCAATCACACAACTCTATTCCACATCAGTTCTGTCCTGTCCAACTGAAAAATTTCATTGGCTACAACATGCAAACAAGTGCTTCATGATCATTGCAAAATCATACAAATAAAACAACACTTGAGAAAAATCTGTAATTCAATGGCAGAATAATTAGTGCTACCTAATTACAAACTTTTCCCTTTGCCAGTGCTCATTATTCATTTCTTGTGATTTTAAAAATGATATTCTTAGGCTCTGATGAGCCGCTAACCTCCTAGCAAGCAAGCCACTATCACACAGCTTTACTCCTGGTGTTTGATTAAAAAGAAAGACAGATTTCGAATCAAAATTACTTTTACGACCATAAAAGCACTAGTTAGCAACGCATGAGTTTCAACGCACTTCAGAGTTCAAGCAAAATGCCTTTTATGTGGGTGACTTCGAACATGCATTCTTTCAATAATTGAAAAAAATATTCTCAATATTACTTGCTACACATTTATGGATTTACGCTACTTTTTGAGTTTTCAAAGCACTCCGGTGCTTGAAACTTGGTTTACTTTGTGCGTTGTTGGAATCCTAATATTTCCTATAAAGTACCTTCCCAATCAAACCTTTTCATTTACGTGAGATTATTAGATGGCTTAAAAAAACTGTGGTTAGGTAAACTTTGGTTGAATTATCTGATATTGAAACTTAAAACATGGTTTTCTGACAGGCGCTGAGGTGCAGTTAACTTCAGGAAATGTGGAATGTTAAGTTTTGGTAGACACCAATTTAGTTCTACAAAAAAGCACAAATTATCAGTTGTTTAAACAGGAGAACTTTCAAAATTACATAATGACAAAACACGTAAATTGGTTTAAAAATAAAAAGATTGAACAAAGTATAAAAGCTCCAAAAAAATTGTAACAACAACTAAATATAATTCTTCAAAAATCATGAATGTTAAAACTTTTTTGAAGCTCTGTAAACTAAGTCAAAAGGACATTGCACAACGTCTAAGAAGACTTAATTCTAGCTAAATTTTATTTTATACTTACTTGATATTCTTTCTGATCTCTACACTATAAAACTTTCAGTGAATCAAACTTATTAAGTGCTAATTTCACGGCAAATAGGACTGAAAAGTAGATTTTTCAGCATTGTTACACACACTATTTTGAACAGTCACTATGCTGACCTAGCAGAGGATAAATGTAAAAAAATAATGAAATTTAGTGAACGCCAAATCCCTTTGATTCCTCTTGTTATTGTGCAATATCCTTTTACTAAAAAAAAAAGAAGAAAAAGAGAGTCAGAGATAAGAAAAATCCTAATAATAATTTCAACAACCCTTGACTTCTCTCCATAACTTAATGAATTGAAGATCATCAACTCTTACAATACTATTTAAATGCAGCAAAATAACATTGATACAACAATAATGGACGCAACTTTAAATTAAATCAGAGGTATGACCTGTGTATAACACCCAGATGCGACTATTTGTTTAGCCAAGTCCGTGATCTTCAAAAAATCCTTGTGGAGTTTCTTCCTGCAACAAATAAACGAAAACCCATATGAAAAACCACTGAGAAAAGTAATGAAGCTTCATATTACTTTAATACCCTGCAGAAAATTAAGACTGTGCTTGAAAAGAAAATGGCTGAGATCGAAGAACATGGTAGAAATCATCTAAATTTTACAAGATGCTGAGGGGAAAAAATTAATTAGGAGCTAATGTGTGACCATCCATAGGAAAATGATCCTAAATCCAGGGAGGGAAATATTTCAGAAAATTTTGATAGGTTGAGTCAAAAAGAGAGGATTAGGAGATTGAAATATGAAATACTCTTCTGTACAAAACGTTTCGAGAAGTTTAGTTCATTTTTATGCTATTAAAGGGCGTAAAGTTACCTCATGGAACAACAATTTTGAGCCGCACTCATAGAAGATTAAAACTTCAAACAGAGTTTTCTTGGAACTACTTTCTTATTACTACAACTTCAAACCGTTTGATCTCTAGTTTGGTTTGAAATATTTAGATTTTTTTTGCACCCACATTTTCCACAAATCTTTTTAACGCGGTGGTGCCAATACCTGGAATTTGACTTCTGTAACTCTAGAAACTCTTTTCTCATAGACAAGTCACATTAAAAGAAAAAACAGTGAGAATTATCAACAGTCAACTTCAACCATTAACCACTTCAACTTTAACCATCAACATTGGTTGATTGCTCAAAGTGGCTGACTGTCGCATTCATGTAGGATTTTATACATTAACTTGAGTTATTTCGGTTCATGGTGAAACATATTGGTGAAAAAAGTTGATTCCATTCATGCAGCACATAAAAAATACTCTATAAAAAATTGATGGTACAAAATAAGATATTAGATAGTTTAAGTTTGCAACAATACATATATTGGATTCCGATTCCTTACTCTCAAAGGTAAGGTGTTAAAGTTTAAAGATCGTAGAACATCTTAGTCTTCATGACTATCGAAAGTCGTTTTCCACAATCTTAAGTCTAAGATGAAACTTTTGGATCAATTCCTTTTTAAGAGTAAGTAACTGAGAGGTTTGAAAGGTTCTGCTACTGTTCAGATTTTGATCAAGGATGAACTCTGCCACCCGGACAAAAAAACCTGTTTTGAAAAAGGTCACCAATATGTTGCACTTCAACCTCAGACAAATCAATAAAAAAAGGTACGAAAAATCAATTTAAAAAAAGACGTACCTATACAGAACTGCAGGGGTTCTTGAGCTGAACAGAGGCCAGAGGCAACAGAATGGCTCCTTATCCAAAACAGGCATCACAAAATTCAACAAAAACAAAACCGCACCATTTCTGACTGTGAAACTGACACAATCTTACTAGTCCGCACCGATGGGTGCAATCACTGAGAATCAAATGTAAGACTTTAACTGGATAAAATTTTGTTAAAAGTACTCCGAAAATACAATAATTAATTCCAAAGCTACATGTACAAGCAATGGATTTTTCAGAGTTAAAATTTGCTGGTAATCAGTGAAACTACAATGAAATACTTCAGCAATCTATATGACAGGATGTGCCTCTTAAACAAAATGAAACTCCTAGGATTTACCTCCGAAGACAAGTTGTATAGCTATGTATTGACTTGAGCTTAGATGTCATTTTGCTGGACATCTCAAATTTTGTTTGCACCTTTCTTTAAAACTTTGCTTGCACTTTCATTATAATTTCGGAGATTGATTTTGATGACAGAAGGAATATTTGGTAAAATTTTTGAGTGATTCTGTTCATCAGTTTGTTGGTAAAAAATTAGACAAGCTTGAGAAGTTTGACAAACAGTACCTAAGCAAAAAAGGCGTTTGTAATATTCCTCCCGAAAGAGGACAATATGTGTGCGATCCCGATTAACAACGATGTAGTACGGAGGTGAAAAAAGTGATGAAATGACAGGTCCTGAGCTAGATATCAAAATTTTAAATTAACAAGACTAAAAATAAATTCAAAAAAACAAAAAGCGCTGTCTGTGCTATTACCTGGAGACAAAACCTACACTGATATTCAACTAAATATAAAATAAGGAGGAGATGAGTAAAACTAACCGTTTAAGCTCGACTTCTTTCACTAACTCATTATGATTGATCCCAAGCAAAATAAAGAAGAGAAAAAGAAAAAAAAATTGGGGTGAATAAGCAGGAGTTTAACTTTAAATTTAAAAACCACTGGTTTTTTTACAGCATTGTATAATTTATTAAAATAAAACACTTTCCCTTTTTCCACACTTCCTGGTGAAAATTAGAAAATTCAAAAGGAAAGGGATTGAAATTTTTATGTACACAAAACACATCATTATTTTAGATTTTTCATACATCAGTCAAAAATCTAAGAGAACTAGCGAGTTGGTTCGATTAACATTGATGGATTGTGGCAATTGCAGTTGCCCCGAAGTTATAGATGAACCTGACTTTATGAAAGAGCAGACAATTTTGTAACAAACTGAGCAAAATATTACTTTTTTAGAAATCAAGGGTGTGTACAAAAAAACCATGGACGCTTAATACACAAATAATCATGGTTCTACTTATGGAATTTAAAGACAAATTTCTGAGGTGAAAATAGCAGAAAAATAAACTCAGTGAATGGTTCCTTCCTTCACCGAGGTAATTGAATTTTTAAAATTTCAGGTTATCTGATGAACACGAATCAGATAGGTGACAGACTCTTCATAAAACAAGAATCGTCAATCAGTGATTCTGTGGAGGGAGGAGATTAAATGCAGTCTCTTGATAAGCTTTGAAAATAGCAAGAAATAACCATTTTAGAAGCAAACTTCTAATCTCACGTGAGAAAATTTGTTGAATTCTTGCTTCTCAGTGAAAAGAAAGACTTGCTAGCAAGTACAAAGGATTAAGGAAACTTCAAACCGTTCTATGTAGTCAAATTGTTTCGATAGTCTTATAAGAATCAGACATTTAACATACTTCTTAACTGTAGTAAATGCGTAACAATCCAGAGCGGCATCGCCTAAAATGCCATTTGATTTCAATGTTGTTCGGACTGAAAAATTATTTCTGTCAGATAAATCTCTTAAATTTGACTCTTCTATGGAAAATTGCATTTTTAGAAGTATGTACATCAATAATACTCATTAATTTGTGGCACCTTTTTCTTTTGTGAGAGGAATTAAGTAACATGTTGAGCTGCTCAGTTTGAGCAAATGAGCATATAACGGACTGTTAGAGGGGGTAAAAAACTAATCAGATTTCAATGTAAAAGACATGAAAAGTAAATCGCAAAAATATTGATTGTACCTATCGACAGTAAAATAATTTTAGGAGACTGAAAATGGGCTTCAACTTTTTGACAAAGAGCTTGATGCAAAAACGGCTTTTTTCGCCCCCCCTCTGGAAGTTCTTCAGACTTTGTCTATCGATTACTCATACTTGAGCGCTTCTTTTCCCAAATTTTCAGACTCCCAAAAAATTTTGGGGGGGAGCTAGGGGGGGGTGGAAGTCAAAACCTGTGAACCTCGATATCTCTTGAACAAAGAAAGATATGGAGGTCCGGTTTGGACGAAAAATCGTGTAAAATTGCATACTTTAAGATTCTAAAGGTTGAAATTCCGATATCACATTTTTAAGTCAACATATGTGCTTTTTTCCAGTTTTTAGGTCTAGAAAATTTCTTTTAAACGAAAAATTTACAAAGATCTCAATACAAGAATCTCAAAAACCAGTTTTTTAAATTGTTCGTCTTTTTCCGCATCCAACGAGTGGTCCATTAAGCTGGGGAACCAAACGGTTCCGGAGTTATGATCGATTGAAGTTTCCGCTCAACGCGCGCCGACCGATTTTTGCGCGCAAAAAAGTCGGATTTGACTGTTATTAGATCAGATTGAATGTTCAAACTGAGCAAAATGCTTTATTAGGGACTCTTGAGGGTCGATGAGTTCAGAAATTACCGATACTTCCAAAAAATTCACGTTTTTAAAATTGCAGCTTCGGACAGGACCACTGAGCGACCGGTCGGCGCTCAGTGGGCCTCTAAAATAGCGCTGCGGAGCTGTAATTTTAAAAACGTATATTATTTGGAATTATCTGTAATTTCTGAACTCAGCGACCCTCAAGAGTTCCTAATAAAGCATTTTGCTCAGTTTGAACATTCAATCTGATCTAATAACAGTCAAATCCGACTTTTTTGCGCGCGAAAATCGGTCGGCGCGCGTTGAGCGGAAACTTCAATCGATCATAACTCCGGAACCGTTTGGTTCCCCAGCTTAATGGACCACTCGTTGGATGCGAAAAAAGACGAACAATTTAAAAAACTGGTTTTGGTTCAAATAAAAAATTGAGATCTTTGTAAATTTTTCGTTTAAAAGAAATTTTCTAGACCTAAAAACTGGAAAAAAGCACATATGTTGACTTAAAAATGTGATATCGGGATTTCAACCTTTAGAATCTTAAAGTATGCAATTTTACACGATTTTTCGTCCAAACCGGACCTCGATATCTTTCTTTGTTCAAGAGATATCGAGGTTCACAGGTTTTGACTTCCACCCCCCCTAGCTCCCCCCCAAAATTTTTTGGGAGTCTGAAAATTTGGGAAAAGAAGCGCTCAAGTATGAGTAATCAATAGACAAAGTCTGAAGAACTTCCAGAGGGGGGGCGAAAAAAGCCGTTTTTGCATCAAGCTCTTTGTCACTGATTGACTAATGAAATTGATGTTAAAATTTCGCATATTTCCTTCTTACAGAACGATATCTACTTGACGTTTTTAGGGGCTCAACTTTCAGAAATGGTAAAGTAATTAACCCTCTCAAAAATAATTATGAATGAAACTTTTCTGATAAAATTTTGACAAACTTTCCTGATTACAGTCACTCTCTCTCCTAAATTACTTCGAGATGTAGAAACAACCAAGACAATCAGTTGGCAAAATAGTCTTCAGGGGCTAATGAATATATTTGTTCGAGATAGCTTTGCTATTCCTCCCCAAACTGTCTTGTAGAAAGAAATACAGATAAAAGGCTAAGATCGAAAAACAATTAGTCAATATGGCAATC